AAGGGGGAGAGAGAACGGTACTGATGTATCTCAGTGTCATCCTTGACCCCACAGAAAAACGTCAACCAACGTGCACAAGACATGCTGCAGGTGTTGCCAAACTCATCAACAAAAGCGCACACATAGTTATGGGACACACACTTCACATCTTGACATCACACAGCGTTGTAGCTTATGTGAACTCGCAAACTTTTACGATGTCCTCCACAAGACAGCAAAAACTCGCTCGCATTCTCGAAGCCCCAAACTTGCTATTCACTCATGAAGGTGTTAACATGGCTGAGCGTTTGGGGGAAGGTGTGTTGCATGAGTGTGCCCACAGGGTTGAAAAAGAAGAAAAAGCCAGAGAAGACCTCCAGACGGAACCCATCCCAGGGGCCAGAAACCTATACACAGACGGATGCTGCTACAGAGATGAGAAGGAGGGACTCAGAGCAGGATTCTCGGTGATAGAAGAAACACCAGACGGACTCAAGACGGTAACAGCACAAAAGCTCAATGGACCACAGTCAGCCCAGAGAGCAGAAGTCGTGGCAGTGATTGAAGCCCTGAAAGCAGGTAAAGACCAAGACATTAACATTTACACTGACTCAGCCTATGCAGTACACGCAGCACAAGTAGACCTAGGACAATGGATGAGAGCGGGCTACCTAACTGCAAAACAAGAACCCATTAAACACATGGATGAAATGAAAGAGCTTGCAAAAGCACTGTGGTTTCCCCAGAAGGTAGCCATCATCAAATGCAAAGGACACGACAACAGCGGATCCAGAGTTGCCATGGGCAACCAAGCAGCGGACTCCGCAGCCAAAGCAGCTGCAGGATATCATGAGAAGCTCCTGTTGGTAAGACCAGACACAGAGACACAAATGACAAAACTGTCCCTTACAGAAATCTCAAAAGAACAGGACCTAGCCTCACCTGAAGAGAAGACAGTGTGGAAACTCAGAGGCGCAGTCCTATCGGAAGGGACCTGGAGATCCCCAGATGGAAGGCTGGTTCTGCCACCTGGGCTCAAAGACAGTATCTTCTCAGAAGCACATGGAGTTGGCCATGCAGGCATCTCCCAGATGAAAGTGGACCTCAAAGAATGGTGGCACCCCTTCCTACATGACATGCTAAAGGAGTGGGTAAGACACTGCACTGTTTGCACACACCACAACACCAGACCTACATACAAACCCGGGGTGGGTAAGTTCCAACTAAAAACACGTCCAGGGAAAGAAATCATCATTGATTTTACAGATATGGTTAACTCAGTCCGAGGGTACAGGTATGTTTTGATGTGTGTTGATGCATTTACAGGATGGCCAGAAGCATGGCCAGTGAAAAGAGAGGACAGCAAATCAGTAGTTAAGTGTCTCATCAACCATTACATCCCACAGCATGGCTTCCCAGAAAAGATCAGGTCGGACAATGGGTCACACTTCAAGAACCAGGACCTCCAGTACGTGGAGGCCATGTTGGGACTTAAACATGGTTTTGGGTCCGTGTACCATCCTCAATCTCAGGGTAAGGTTGAGAGGATGAACCAGACAGTCAAGAACAGGCTGTCAAAGATTTGTGCCCACACAGGGCTGAACTGGGTGGATGCTCTACCGCTCGCCCTCATGTCCATCCGATCCTCAGTAAACAGGACAACTGGACACACCCCATTCGAGCTCGAACGTGGTCGACCTTTTCCAGGGCCAGAGCGAGCCCTGCAAAACACTGACCCTCCTCCCTCTCACATGCACCAGAAAGATTATTATGTACAACTGCAATCTGTTCTCTCTGAATTTGCTAAGCAGGTGCGAGACAGCAAAGACGGCACCAAAGACGGTGACCTACCCATCACTGACTGGGTCCTCCTTCGGGTCATCAAGAGAAAGTGGAGCGAGCCTAGGTGGACAGGACCATTTCAGGTGACCGAGAGAACCTCCCACGCAGTCCGGCTGGACGGGAAAGGTGACACCTGGTTCCACCTCACTCAGTGCGCCCCAGCTGTAACACCTCAACGCTCCCTGAAGGAAGTGCGGCAGGATCTTGCAGCAGCTGCAGCAGGAAACCAAACCAAAGAGCCACACACCTCCAGAAAAGACACAGGGCAGAATAATCCCTGCAACGAAAAAGGCACAGGGTAGTCTACCCCTGACCGCCTGAAGAAAGGAGACAACATCCTGCAGGACGTCGGCTGACAACTGCTCTAGTAGACAACGAAGCTACGCTGCAAAGACACAGGGCAGAATAATCCCTGCAACGTAAAGGGCACAGGGTAGTCTACCCCTGACCGCCTGAAGAAAGACGACAACATCCCGCAGGACGTCGGCTGACACCTGCTCCAGTAGACAACGACGTAACGCTGCCTGTCCGGGCGACCCCCACGGACGGCTCATCTGTCAGGTCGTGCAAGACAAGAAAATCTCTTACCTGTATGTTTCAAACTGTATGTTCCACACCCTTTTATTTCGGCATTTATCTGGTTATTAACTTACATTGTATTGCTCGATGTTCTTTTGTGGGTTGAATTTTGCAGAAACGAAATGAGGATCCCTCGTCTTAGAGTTGGCTCATGGCCATGGTTGATCGCTTTAGCCTTATTTAACATAGGTTTGCTGCTTATAATCTTAGGGCTGACTAGGGAGTTCCCACAGTTGCCTACAAACGCCACAGAACCTGATGCAACACACCTCTCACGTCCCATCCGCGGCTATGATGCTTATTTGGCCCACCCATCATTCTCTGTTAACGGTACAGCCCTGACCATTACTTGCGAATACTCTGGTCCAAACACTCCTGTGAAAGTTGGCCTCTCCCTCGGAGATGGCGACAATTGGCGACGAGCAGGGGGTTCCATACCCTATGATGTTTCTTACACGCCCCGGGGGGAGTGACAGCCAAAAAGGGGGTGTCAGTAGTGTCTGTCAATCTCACTCACTTAGAGGTCACGGTTCCCACTTACTTTAGATGTTGGCTTTGTAGATTCCATGTGTACCCCTCTGGCAATCAAAATACTCACGGTTGTTTTCCATCTCCTCCTCTAACCCCCAGCCCACAGCTTGATACTAACCTGTCCCTCAGTGTGGTAGACCCCGACCTGGATGCCGCCCTGCATGCGAACAAAAGTAATGTTTACCTAGTCATAGCGGAAGTACTGACGGTTAAATTTATACTCCTGGCACTGTTGATGCGCTAATTGAAGGTGATCTCTTTGAAGAGATCAAAAGGGGGAATTTGTGGGAACTCATATATCATACCAATCATTTAGTCATTGTTTCAGGTAATTAACTGTTTTCTTATTGTGTTTACATTATTTTGTGTGCTCATTGCGGACATGTACTGATGAGTCAGATTAGAAGGTTTAATGCTAACACGGGGGCAATTGACCACTGTGTCACAATGTATAGAACAGAGACTTTCAGTATAGAAGGATTTTAGCTTATGCCTAGAAGTGCCAAGGGTTGGTAAGTATGGTTTTAAACTGTTCTGCCTTAACAGTCATTTATTAAAAAGTGTGCTTTATAATCATCACAGCCATTCACTAAAAGTGTTCCTTATAAAAGTGCTCTAGGGCCCTGACATATGCCTTAGATAATGATGTGCCTTTCATAAACAGATGTGCAGGTGCTAGTCAGAGATGTGGACAACAGGACGAGGGAGGAAGATCACTCTGTCCTGGGAAGATGGGGAGGTGTAAAGGGGGGTTTGCATGCCCAGCAGTCTGCCCAGTGGGAACTCAGTGAAAGCTTGGAATACATGACGCAAATATGATAAAGGGAGACGGGCGCTGGATGCATCCAAGGTCAACTTCCCTGAAACCACGGTTTCGGTCAGGTATAAAAAAATAGAACAATACGTGCTTGTTTGTCCATAGAGAAACACTGGGGGCTGCTGGTTAGGTAAACTCTCCGCCCAAAAAGATGATGAGACGCCTCCTAGGGTATAAATATTAACTACTGAAAAATAGTAATCAGACCACCTCAGAGATACCATTGGGTTGATGTTGTGCTCTCCAAGATATCTTGTGTTATTTGATGTGCCGAAATAAAAGGTTTGTTGAAGACACCTTTTTGCCTCAGTGAATCCTCTGTTCCAGTCTCCATCAACGGACTCGGGGAAGTTTGAATTAACTTCAACAGGGGCTAGGGTAAGGTTTAAGGTTTTTGGCGTTAGGGTTAAAATCACTGTCCAAAACCTTTTTAGGAACATGTTTGAGACCTTTTGGAGGTGGTTACACCAAAAAAAAATGTAAAATGAAAAGAAAATATTTGGGGTGTTCAAGCTTCCTGAAGGTAATACCCGAGTATTAGGTTATGGGGCTATAGTAAGGTTTAAGGTTTTTGGCGTTAGGGTTAAAATCACTGTCCAAAACCTTTTTAGGAACTATTTTCCAACCTTTTGGAGTTAGTTAGACCAAAAAAAAAATGAAAAATGAAAAAAAATATTTGGGGTTTTTGGGTTACTGAAGGTAATACCCGGGTATTAGGTTTTGGGGCTAGGATTAGGTTTAAGGTTTTTGGCGTTAGTGTTAAAATAACTGTCCAAAACCTTTGTAGGAACTCTTTTCAGACCTTTTGGAGTTAGTTAGACCAAAAAAAAAAAAAAAAAAAAAAAAATATATTTGGGGTCTTCGGGCTTCCTGAAGGAAATACCCAGGTATTAGGTTATGGGGCTAGGGTAAGGTTTAAGGTTTTTGGCGTTAGGGTTAAAATCACTGTCCAAAACCTTTTTAGGAACATGTTTCAGACCTTTTGGAGTTGGTAACACCAAAAAAAAATGTAAAATGAAAAAAAAATATTTGGGGTGTTCAAGCTTCCTGAAGGTAATACCCGGGTATTAGGTTTTGGGGCTAGGGTAAGGTTTAAGGTTTTTGGTGTTAGGGTTAAAATCACTGTCCAAAACCTTTGTAGGAAGTCTTTTCCAACCTTTTGGAGTTAGTTAGACAAAAAATAAAAGATAAATGAAAAAAAAATATTTGGGGTGTTCGGGCTTCCTGAAGGTAATACCCGGGTATTAGGTTATGGGGCTAGGGTTAGGTTTAAGGTTTTTGGCGTAAGGGTTAAAATCACTGTCCAATATTTTTTAAGGAACATCTTTCAGACCTTTGGGAGTTAGTTAGACAAAAAAAATGTAAAATGAAAAAAAAAATATTTGGGGTGTTCGGGCTTCCTGAAGGTAATACCCGGGTATTAGGTTTTGGGGCTAGGATTAGGTTTAAGGTTTTTGGCGTTAGTGTTAAAATCACCGTCCAAAACCTTTGTAGGAACTCTTTTCAGACCTTTTGGATTTAGTTAGACCAAAAAAAAAAAAAAAAGAAAAAAATATATTTGGGGTCTCCGGGCTTCCTGAAGGAAATACCCAGGTATTAGGTTATGGGGCTAGGGTAAGGTTTAAGGTTTTTGGCGTTAGGGTTAAAATCACTGTCCAAAACCTTTTTAGGAACATGTTTCAGACCTTTTGGAGTTGGTAACACCAAAAAAAAATGTAAAATGAAAAAAAAATATTTGGGGTGTTCGGGCTTCCTGAAGGAAATACCCGGGTATTAGGTTTTGGGGCTAGGGTAAGGTTTAAGGTTTTTGGCGTAAGGGTTAAAATCACTGTCCAATATTTTTTAAGGAACATGTTTCAGACCTTTTGGAGTTAGTTAGACAAAAAAAAAAAAAAAAATGAAAAAAAAATATTTGGGGTGTTCGGGCTTCCTGAAGGTAATACCAAGGTATTAGGTTATGGGGCTAGGGAAGGGTTTAAGGTTTTTGGCGTAAGGGTTAAAATCACTGTCCAAAACCTTTTTAGGAACATGTTTAAGACCTTTTAGAGTTGGTTACACCAAAAAAAATGTAAAATGATAAAAAAATATTTGGGGTGTTCAAGCTTCCTGAAGGTAATACTAGGTTTCTTGGCTAGGGTAATGTTTTAGGTTTTTGGCGTTAGGGTTAAAATCAATGTCCAAAACCTTTGTAGGAACTCTTTTCCAACCTTTGAGAGCAAGTTAGACCAAAACAAAAAGAAAAATAAAAAATATATATTTGGGGTGTTCGGGCTTCCTGAAGGTAATACCCGGGTATTAGGTTATGGAGCTAGGGTAAGGTTTAAGGTTTTTCGGCGTCAGGGTAAAAATCACTGTCCAAAACCTTTGTAGGAACTCTTTTCCAACCTTTGGGAATTAGTTAGACAAAAAAAATAAGATAAATGAAAAAAAAATTTTTGGGGTGTTCGGGCTTCCTGAAGGTAATACCCGGGTATTAGGTTTTGGGGCTAGGGTAAGGTTTAAGGTTTTTGGTGTTAGGGTTAAAATCACTGTCCAAAACCTTTGTAGGAACTCTTTTCCAACCTTTTGGAGTTAGTTAGACCAAAAAAAAAAAAAAAGAAAAAAATATAATTGGGGTCTTCGGGCTTCCTGAAGGAAATACCCAGGTATTAGGTTATGGGGCTAGGGTAAGGTTTAAGGTTTTTGGCGTTAGGGTTAAAATCACCGTCCAAAACCTTTTTAGGAACATGTTTCAGACCTTTTGGAGTTGGTAACACCAAAAAAAAAATGTAAAATAAAAAAAAATATTTGGGGTGTTCAAGCTTGCTGAAGGTAATACCCGGGTATTAGGTTTTGGGGCTAGGGTAAGGTTTAAGGTTTTTGGTGTTAGGGTTAAAATCACTGTCCAAAACCTTTTTAGGAACATGTTTCAGACCTTTTGGAGTAGGTTACACCAAAAAAAAATGTAAAATGAAAAGAAAATATTTGGGGTGTTCAAGCTTCCTGAAGGTCATACCCGGGTATTAGGTTATGGGGCTATAGTAAAGTTTAAGGTTTTTGGCGTTAGGGTTAAAATCACTGTCCAATATTTTTTAAGGAACTATTTTCCAACCTTTTGGAGTTAGTTAGACCAAAAAAAAAACGAAAAATGAAAAGAAAATATTTGGGGTGTTCGGGCTTCCTGAAGGTAATACCAAGGTATTAGGTTTTGGGGCTAGGGTAAGGTTTAAGGTTTTTGGCGTTAGGGTTAAAATCACTGTCCAAAACCTTTGTAGGAACTCTTTTCCAACCTTTGGGAATTAGTTAGACAAAAAAAAAGATAAATGAAAAAAAAATATTTGGGGTGTTCGGGCTTCCTGAAGGAAATACCCGGGTATTAGGTTTTGGGGCTAGGGTTAGGTTTAAGGTTTTTGGCGTTAGGGTTAAAATCACTGTCCAATATTTTTTCAGGAACATGTTTCAGACCTTTGGGAGTTAGTTAGACAAAAAAAAAAGAAAAAGAAAAAAAAAATATTTGGGGTGTTCGGGTTTCCTGAAGGTAATACCCCGGTATTAGGTTATGGGGCTAGGGTAAGGTTTAAGGTTTTTGGCGTAAGGGTTAAAATCACTGTCCAAAACCTTTTTAGGAACATGTTTAAGACCTTTTACAGTTGGTAACACCAAAAAAAAATGTAAAATTAAAAAAAAATATTTGGGGTGTTCGGGCTTCCTGAAGGTAATACTTTGTATTACCTTTGTAGGAAGTCTTTTCCAACCTTTTGGAGTAAGTCTTTTGAAGGAAGTCTTTTCCAACCTTTTGGAGTTAGTTAGACAAAAAAAAAAAAGATAAATGAAAAAAAAATATTTGGGGTGTTCGGGCTTCCTGAAGGTAATACCCGGGTATTAGGTTATGGGGCTAGGGTAAGGATTAAGGTTTTTGGCGTAAGGGTTAAAATCACTGTCCAAAACCTTTTTAGGAACATGTTTCAGACATTTTGGAGTTGGTTACACCAAAAAAAATGTAAAATGAAAAACAATTTTTTTTGGGTGTTCGGGCTTCTTGAAGGTAATACTAGGTTTCCTGGCTAGGGTAATGTTTAAGGTTTTTGGTGTTAGGGTTAAAATCAATGTCCAAAACCTTTGTAGGAACTCTTTTCCAACCTTTGAGAGCAAGTTAGACCAAAAAAAAAAAGAAAAATAAAAAATATATATTTGGGGTGTTCGGGCTTCCTGAAGGTAATACCCGGGTATTAGGTTTTGGGGCTAGGGTTAGGTTTAAGGTTTTTGGCGTTAGGGTTAAAATCACTGTCCAAAACCTTTGTAGGAACTATTTTCCAACCTTTGGGAATTAGTTAGACAAAAAAAAAAAAGATAAATGAAAAAAAAATATTTGGGGTGTTCGGGCTTCCTGAAGGAAATACCCGGGTATTAGGTTTTGGGGCTAGGGTTAGGTTTAAGGTTTTTGGCGTTAGGGTTAAAATAACTGTCCAATATTTTTTAAGGAACATGTTTCAGACCTTTGGGAGTTAGTTAGACAAAAAAAAAAGAAAAAGAAAAAAAAACTAGGACCCCGTTGGGGCACTGGCGGGCCCGAGCTGTGTCGCGTCCCCCCCCCAACGCGCTGCCTCCCCGTCCCATTCGCGTCCTCTGGCCGTCGCCCTCTCTGGTAACGCCCATCACTGCAAAGACCCTTTTCCTTCATCTGCGTTTGCTGTTCTTCCTGCCAGTGCGTGTTGCTTTCACTTACACTTGCCACAGCCAGCCTCGTGAGTGCCTAGCCTATTGGATATCACTGTCACCTACACAGGACAGTCATTACCTTTCTATTAATACTTTGTTTTTTAATTTCACATTAATTTCCATATTGTATAAACAACTGGAAAAAACTTGAGCCCCTGCCCCTGTATAATCATGTGCACGTCTCTGTTTTAGCTCTAAGGTGAATCTTCACTGCTCATGTTCTCCTCAGAAGCAGTCACCTCACTCCCCTCAGGTTACTGTACACATGCACCAACTGCCTGCTTCAGGTTTGGATGGAGCTTCATGGTTGTCTTTTGGAGAAATGACCAGTCAAGTTGTGTTTGAAATTTGATTTTTTTCAGGGGCAAAAGGAGCCTCTGCATTCTTGTCAAATATGTAAATAGCATGTTTTTGCAGGTGCTAAAAACCAGACTCTGAGTGTGTGTGTGTGCGTGTGTGTGTGTGTCTGTGTGTGTGTGTGTGTGTGTGTGTGTGTGTGTGCGTTCAAGTCACATGACATATTTAACCGGATGTAGCTGCAAGACGGAGCCTCGTTGACTCTCCGTTTCAACTTATCTCAAAAGTGAGGACCTCAACCTATATACCAGTTTTTAAATTGTGTTGATAGGCCAAATAAAACCAGAGTTATGATAAATTATGTCCGCGATACTTGTTTTCTGCTTATTTTGATCACGTTCGGCGCTCGATCGCGCTGTATGAGACAGGAAAACATAGCATGCAGACATTAGCGACAGGTCTTACAGGCGGAAAAGGCTTGCCAAAGGAAAAAAAAACACACCACAACATCTCTCCTATTGGTGGAAAACTTCACCACAACAACCAATCCAAAATTATATGGTGACTGATTGACAAGGGGCGGGAACTTACGTTCTTCCTGCAATATGAGAAGGGAGGGAGGGACTCTCAGCAGGGATGCAGTCTGGGACACGTAGTTGCAAACCTAGCGACTTTGTTGTTAGATTCAATGACTTTTCAGACCCCCTAGCGACTTTTTTTTAGAAAGAAAGTGACTTTTATCGACTTCTTCTGGAGTTTAGAGACTCTGACATGAAGCAGGCTTTCCTTACTGAGGAGTTAGCAACACTGCTAAGGGTGCAGAGCCACACATGCGCTCCGAGCTCTGCATGGGAGACTGAAGCTGACAGAGCTGCAGCAGTTAGCAGGTTTCACCCTCAGAGACCACCAGGGGTTCATGTTGAGGCATTTTCAGTTTTTTTTTTTTTTTTTTTTGCCATAGACACTGTCAGCACAATCTGCAGTTACACTAACAAAAATGCTGCAAAAAACAAAGAATTATGGAAAAATTACACATGGACTAACATAGAGGAGGATCTACACAAGTTTTTTACATCATGTTTTACATCATGCATCATTTACATCATGTTTTTTTGTAGTGGCATAAATAAAAAGTGACATTTGTGAGACTATACAGTGTTTTGTAAATAATTTTACAAAGAACACCTGGGCCATTGCCTGCATTTTGATGTCAATAGAGGTAAATTACTATGTTCTTTGTTAAAAATTTGCATATGTTTTGAAGTTTACAATTTTTATTTGAAGTTTAAGTTTTAAAAACAGTTCATCACACATATTTGTGGTTTTCACAGTAAAAACGTTACTTTTTTCCACTCGGATTTTATGTTTTGTGTGTGAATTTGGGTCCAATGTGTAAATATAGTATGTCAAAATGATAAAATAACTGTAAATTGACACAGGTGAGGTTGTGCTGAAAAAAATGATACCAGGCAAGGCAAGGTAAAAATTTTGTAAGAGGAAATATAAAGGTAAAATCTAAAGTAGTCAAAAACGGCCAATAGTGACTCACAGACTCCACAGACAAGTCCCTTTGGCGCCACTCAGTGGGCAAAACTACTTTGTCTACTGTAATGTATATTTGGGTCATCTTTGGCGCCCCCTAAAACGTAAACCGTGGGGTGCAGCGTCATGATTTTTACAACTTTGAATGGCCATGGAGTGTAGATTGGCCTGAGCAAATTTGGTGTCAGTGGGACGAAGGCCTTAGGAGGAGTTAGCGAAATTCCAATGTGTGCGAATTGGCAAAAAATGCAAAATAGCCCTTTTACCGTACATTATACAGATACGCGCTCTTTGACTTTTTCGTAGATCTAATTGAGATACACATGATTGTCAATTTTTGTGTCATTTTGCCAAAGCGTACAGGCGTGACAGTCAACAATGTGTATTTTCACCTTAGGGGACAAGAAAAAATGGACTTTTTTCTCCTGCCATGGGGGGCGCTCTTTTAGGGAGTAAAAATTCCTTCACAAATGTGTTGATGGCTGGACATTGCATCATCCTAGAAAACTTGGAGGCCAGTGAGGACAAAAATAAAAAGTTAAAAGACTTTTAAAAATGTGGATTTTTGGGTTATCTTTGGCGCCCCCTAGAACGTAAACCGTGGGGTGCAGCGTCATGATTTGAATAACTTTTAATGGCCATGGGGTGTAATTTGGCCTGAGCAAATGTGGTGCCGGTGGAACGAAAGCCTTCGGAGGAGTTAGCGAAATTCCAATGTGTGCGAATCGGCAAAAAATGCGGAATAACCCTTTAACCGTACATTAGACAGATACGCGCGCATGGACTTTTTTGTAGATCGTATTGAGATACATGTGTGTGTCAATTTTTGTGTCATTTTGCCAAAGCGTACAGGCGTAACACTCAACAATGTGTATTTTCACCTTAGGGGACAAGAAAAAATGGACTTTTTTCTCCTGCCATGGGGGGGCGCTCTTTTGGGGAGTAAAAATTCCTTCACAAATGTGTTGATGGCTGGACATTGCATCATCCTAGAAAACTTGGAGGCCAGTGAGGGCAAAAATAAAAAGTTATAAGACTTTTAAAAATGTGGATTTTAGGGTTATCTTTGGCGCCCCCTAGAACCTAAACCGTGGGGTGCAGCGTCATGATTTGAATAACTTTTAATGGCCATGGGGTGTAGATTGGCCTGAGCAAATGTGGTGCCGGTGGAACGAAAGCCTTCGGAGGAGTTAGCGAAATTCCAATGTGTGCGGATCGGCAAAAAATGCGAAATAACCCTTTAACCGTACATTTGACAGATACGCCCGCACTGACTTTTTTGTAGATCTTATTGAGATACATGTGTGTGTCAATTTTTGTGTCATTTTGACAAAGCGTACAGGCGTGACAGTCAATAGTGTGTATTTTCACCTTAGGGGACAAGAAAAAAATGGACTTTTTTCTCCTGCCATGGGGGGGCGCTCTTTTGAGGAGTAAAAATTCCTTCACAAATGTGTTGATGGCTGGACATTGCATCATCCTAGAAAACTTGGAGGCCAGTGAGGGCAAAAATAAAAAGTTATAAGACTTTTAAAAATGTGGATTTTAGGGTTATCTTTGGCGCCCCCTAGAACCTAAACCGTGGGGTGCAGCGTCATGATTTGAATAACTTTTAATGGCCATGGGGTGTAGATTGGCCTGAGCAAATGTGGTGCCGGTGGAACGAAAGCCTTCGGAGGAGTTAGCGAAATTCCAATGTGTGCGGATCGGCAAAAAATGCGAAATAACCCTTTAACCGTACATTTGACAGATACGCCTGCACTGACTTTTTTGTAGATCTTATTGAGATACATGTGTGTGTCAATTTTTGTGTCATTTTGACAAAGCGTACAGGCGTGACAGTCAATAGTGTGAATTTTCACCTTAGGGGGCGCTATGGAGCCATTTTGCATTTTCTTGTTTCGGCGACTTCGGAATATCAAATTTTTCACCAGGCCCGGTCGTCCTGCCAAATTTCCTGAGTTTTCGCCAGTGGGAAGTGGGCCATTTTCCAGTTCAAAGGGGAGGAAAAAGAAGAAAGAAAGAAACAAAGAACTAGGGCCCCGTTGGGGCACTGGCGGGCCCGAGCCGTGTCGCGCGGCCCCCCCCAACGCGCTGCCTCCCCGTCCCATTCGCGTCCTCTGGCCATCGCCCTCTCTGGTAACGCCTATCACTGCAAAGACCCTTTTCCTTCATCGGCGTTTGCTGTTCTTCCTGCCAGTGCGTGTTGCTTTCACTTACACTTGCCACAGCCAGCCTCGTGAGTGCCTAGCCTATTGGATATCACTGTCATCTACACAGGACAGTCATTACCTTTCTATTAATACTTTGTTTTTTAATTTCACATTAATTTCCATATTGTATAAATGACTGGAAAAGACTTGAGCCCCTGCCCCTGTATAATTATGTGCACGTCCCTGTTCTGGCTCTAAGGTGAAGCTTCACTGCTCATGTTCTCCTCAGAAGCAGTCACCTCACTCCCCTCAGGTTACTGTACACATGCACCAACTGCCTGCTTCAGGTTTGCATAGGGCTTCATGGTTGTGTTTTGGAGAAATGAGCAGTCAAGTTGTGTTTGAAATTAGATTTTTTTCAGGGGCAAAAGGAGCCTCTGCATTCTTGTCAAATATGTAAATAGCATGTTTTTGCAGGTGCTAAAAAACAGACTCTGAGTGTGTGTGTGTGTGTGTGTGTGTGTGTGTGTGTGTGTGTGTGTGTGTGTGTGTGTGTGTGTGTTGTGTCTGTGTGTGTGTGTGTATATCTTGTAGTACTCTGAGAAGAATAATGAGCATATTTCTGAGGTGAATTTTGAAGATTCATCTGAGAGTTAGGAGGGCTGATCATTCCCTTACCCTTCAGATGTCTATCTATGTCTGTTTTTGTGTAAGAATCCCAACTCAAAAAGGCTCTGTTGATGTTTTTTTTGTTGTTCATTCATATTCAAACCACTATTTTATATCACTGCTAATACACCAAGACCATTTTATGGTATTTAGCTTTATTATTTCTATACATTTTGCAAGGAAAGAAACCAAGGCCTTCACTAAAATTTCCATAAACTTTAGGAAAGGACCTCTGGTTGTTTAAGGGGGTAATTACTGCAAAAACATATTCTTCCTAAATTTTGAAGGTCAAACCTTAGATCCATTAGGTTTAAATAGAAAAAGCATTCAAATATGTTAGGATTATAGCATATGACAAATGTGTGCCTCTCAGTGGCCATAACTACTTTGTCTGCTGGCTCTGCAGTCGATTGACGCTCCCCAGCGTTCAAGTCACATGACATATTTAACCGGATGTAGCTGCAAGACGGAGCCTCGTTGACTCTCCAGCTGCGTCCGAATTGCCAAGTAGTAGTCGAAGTAGTAGTCGAAGTAGTATCTAGCATGTCCGAATTGGCCACCGGAGCGAGTAGCATGCTACTTCAGATACTACTTCAGATGCTAGACACGCCCACATTGTAGGTTGGTCTCGGTGCATCCTACGGGCATGTTACTGACCCAAAATGCACCGCGGGCTTCTTCTTCGTCCTCTTAAAAGTTGTAGAAGCGCATGTGATGCTAGCGCCACCATCTGCTGCCTATTTAGGTGCGTCGCGAACGCCGGCTGGCCACAGCAGCGCGCACCATGTCGGAGCAGCAGCAGCAGCAGGCGGGACCGCAGCAGTACAGATGTAAGTTTCATGTAACTTCACACACTGTCCTAAAAAATGTGCGGTTGTATTTCTTTGTCATGTCATGGTGTCATATTTGCCCAAGTAATCATTTTATGAGCAAGTGGCGACATCATGGAGGTAAAGCTCACTTATTCCATCATGAAACTGCACAGCTGCAGTACTACAGCCAGGCCCGCAGATGAGGGGCTTCAGTTACCACTGTCTGCACGGGCGCAGTACCTACTCTCTGCCTGCGGGGGTCGTCTTTCCCCACCGCTCGTGTAGTGTGTCCGAATAGGGCCAACGTTTTTAGTATGTAGGTGTAGGATCTAGCAGTAGCACGTAGCAGTAGCATGTAGTATCCGAGCGGGCAGTTCGGACGCAGCATCCGTTTCAACTAATCTAAAAAGTGAGGACCTCAACCTATATACCAGTTTTTAAATTGTGTTGATAGGCCAAATAAAACCAGAGTTATGATAAATTATGTCCGCGATACTTTTTTTCTGCTTATTTTGATCACGTTCGGCGCTCGATCGCGCTGTATGAGACAGGAAAACATAGCATGCAGACATTAGCGACAGGTCTTACAGGCGGAAAAGGCTTGCCAAAAGAAAAAAAAAAACACACCACAACATCTCTCCTATTGGTGGAAAACTTCACCACAACAACCAATCCAAAATTATATGGTGACTGATTGACAAGGGGAGGGCGCTTACGTTCTTCCTGCAACATGAGAAGCGAGGGAGGGACTCTCAGCAGGGATGCAGTCTGGGACACGTAGTTGCAAACCTAGCGACTTTGTTGTTAGATTCAATGACTTTTCAGACCCCCTAACGACTTTTTTTTAGAAAGAAAGGGACTTTTATCGACTTCTTCTGGAGTTTAGAGACTCTGACATGAAGCAGGCTTTCCTTACTGAGGAGTTAGCAACGCTGCTAAGGGTGCAGAGCCACACATGCGCTCAGAGCTCTGCATGGGAGACTGAAGCTGACAGAGCTGCAGCAGTTAGCAGGTTTCACCCTCAGAGACCACCAGGGGTTCATGTTAAGGCATTTTAATTTTTTTTTTTTTTTTGTGCCATAGACACTGTCAGCACAATCTGCAGTTACACTAACAAAAATGCTGCAAAAAACAAAGAATTATGGAAAAATTACACATGGACTGACATAGAGGAGGATCTACACAAGTTTTTTACATCATGTTTTACATCATGCATCATTTACATCATGTTTTTTGTAGTGGCATAAATAAAAAGTGACATTTGTGAGACTATACAGTGTTTTGTAAATAATTTTACAAAGAACGCCTGGGCCATTGCCTGCATTTTGATGTAAATAGAGGTAAATCACTATGTTCTTTGTTAAAAATTTGCATATGTTTTGAAGTTTACAATTTTTATTTGAAGTTTAAGTTTTAAAAACAGTTCATCACACATATTTGTGGTTTTCACAGTAAAAATTTTACTTTTTTCCACTCGGATTTTATGTTTTGTGTGTGAATTTGGGTCCATTGTGTAAATTCAGTATGTCAACATGATAAAATAACTGTAAATTCGCACAGGTGAGGTTGTGCTGAAAAAAATGATACCAGGCAAGGCACGTGATTGTCAAATTTTGTGTCAATATGACAAAGCGTATAGGCGTGAATCTCAACAATATGTATTTTCACCTTAGGGGACAAGAAAAAATGGACTTTTTTCTCCTGCCATGGGGGGGCGCTCTTTTGGGGAGTAAAAATTCCTTCACAAATGTGTTGATGGCTGGACATTGCATCATCCTAGAAAACTTGGAGGCCAGTGAGGACAAAAATAAAAAGTTATAAGACTTTTAAATATGTGGATTTTAAGGTTATATTTGGCGCCCCCTAGAACCTAAACCGTGGGGTGCAGCGTCATGATTTGAATAACTTTTAATGGCCATGGGGTGTAGATTGGCCTGAGCAAATGTGGTGCTGGTGGAACGAAAGCCTTAGGAGGAGTTAGCCACATTCCAATGTGTGCGGATCGGCAAAAAATGCGGAATAACCCTTTAACCGTACATTTGACAGATACGCGCGCATTGACTTTTTCGTAGATCTTATTGAGTTACATGTGTGTGTCAATTTTTGTGTCATTTTGACAAAGCGTATAGGCGTGACACTCAACAATGTGTATTTTCACCTTAGGGGACAAGAAAAAATGGACTTTTTTCTTCTGCCATGGGGGGCGCTCTTTTGGGGAGTAAAAATTCCTTCACAAATGTGTTGATGGCTGGACATTGCATCATCCTAGAAAACTTGGAGGCCAGTGAGGACAAAAATAAAAAGTTATAAGACTTTTAAAAATGTGGATTTTTGGGTTATCTTTGGCGCCCCCTAGAACGTAAACCATGGGGTGCAGCGTCAAGATTTGAATAACTTTTAATGGCCATGGGGTGTAGATTGGCCTGAGCAAATTTGGTGCCGGTGGAACGAAAGCCTTCGGAGGAGTTAGCGAAATTCCAATGTGTGCGAATCGGCAAAAAATGCGGAATAACCCTTTAACCGTACATTTGACAGATACGCGCGCATTGACTTTTTTGTAGATCTTATTGAGATACATGTGTGTGTCAATTTTTGTGTCATTTTGACAAAGCGTACAGGCGTGACAGTCAATAGTGTGAATTTTCACCTTATGGGACAAGAAAAAATGAACTTTTTTCTCCTGCCATGGGGGGGCGCTCTTTTGGGGAGTAAAAATTCCTTCACAAATGTGTTGATGGCTGGACATTGCATCATCCTAGAAAACTTGGAGGCCAGTGAGGGCAAAAATAAAAAGTTATAAAACATTTAAGAATGTGGATTTTAGGGTTATCTTTGGCGCCCCCTAGAACCTAAACCGTGGGGTGCAGCGTCATGATTTGAATAACTTTTAATGGCCATGGGGTGTAGATTGGCCTGAGCAAATGTGGTGCCGGTGGAACGAAAGCCTTCGGAGGAGTTAGCGAAATTCCAATGTGTGCGGATCGGCAAAAAATGCGAAATAACCCTTTAACCGTACATTAGACAGATACGCCCGCACTGACTTTTTTGTAGATCTTATTGAGATACATGTGTGTGTCAATTTTTGTGTCATTTTGACAAAGCGTACAGGCGTGACAGTCAATAGTGTGAATTTTCACCTTATGGGACAAGAAAAAATGAACTTTTTTCTCCTGCCATGGGGGGGCGCTCTTTTGGGGAGTAAAAATTCCTTCACAAATGTGTTGATGGCTGGACATTGCATCATCCTAGAAAACTTGGAGGCCAGTGAGGGCAAAAATAAAAAGTTATAAGACATTTAAAAATGTGGATTTTTGGGTTATCTTTGGCGCCCCCTAGAACGTAAACCATGGGGTGCAGCGTCAAGATTTGAATAACTTTTAATGGCCATGGGGTGTAGATTGGCCTGAGCAAATTTGGTGCCGGTGGAACGAAAGCCTTCGGAGGAGTTAGCGAAATTCCAATGTGTGCGAATCGGCAAAAAATGCGGAATAACCCTTTAACCGTACATTTGACAGATACGCGCGCATTGACTTTTTTGTAGATCTTATTGAGATACATGTGTGTGTCAATTTTTGTGTCATTTTGACAAAGCGTACAGGCGTGACAGTCAATAGTGTGAATTTTCACCTTATGGGACAAGAAAAAATGAACTTTTTTCTCCTGCCATGGGGGGCGCTCTTTTGGGGAGTAAAAATTCCTTCACAAATGTGTTGATGGCTGGACATTGCATCATCCTAGAAAACTTGGAGGCCAGTGAGGGCAAAAATAAAAAGTTATAAAACATTTAAGAATGTGGATTTTAGGGTTATCTTTGGCGCCCCCTAGAACCTAAACCGTGGGGTGCAGCGTCATGATTTGAATAACTTTTAATGGCCATGGGGTGTAGATTGGCCTGAGCAAATGTGGTGCCGGTGGAACGAAAGCCTTCGGAGGAGTTAGCGAAATTCCAATGTGTGCGGATCGGCAAAAAATGCGAAATAACCCTTTAACCGTACATTAGACAGATACGCCCGCACTGACTTTTTTGTAGATCTTATTGAGATACATGTGTGTGTCAATTTTTGTGTCATTTTGACAAAGCGTACAGGCGTGACAGTCAATAGTGTGAATTTTCACCTTATGGGACAAGAAAAAATGAACTTTTTTCTCCTGCCATGGGGGGCGCTCTTTTGGGGAGTAAAAATTCCTTCACAAATGTGTTGATGGCTGGACATTGCATCATCCTAGAAAACTTGGAGGCCAGTGAGGGCAAAAATAAAAAGTTATAAGACATTTAAAAATGTGGATTTTAGGGTTATCTTTGGCGCCCCCTAGAACCTAAACCGTGGGGTGCAGCGTCATGATTTGAATAACTTTTAATGGCCATGGGGTGTAGATTGGCCTGAGCAAATGTGGTGCCGGTGGAACGAAAGCCTTCGGAGGAGTTAGCGAAATTCCAATGTGTGCGGATCGGCAAAAAATGCGAAATAACCCTTTAACCGTACATTAGACAGATACGCCCGCACTGACTTTTTTGTAGATCTTATTGAGATACATGTGTGTGTCAATTTTTGTGTCATTTTGACAAAGCGTACAGGCGTGACAGTCAATAGTGTGAATTTTCACCTTAGGGGGCGCTATGGAGCCATTTTGCATTTTCTTGTTTGGGCGAATTCGGAATATCAAATTTTTCACCAGGCCCGGTCGTCCTGCCAAATTTCCTGAGTTTTCGCCAGTGGGAAGTGGGCCATTTTCCAGTTCAAAGGGGAGGAAAAAGAAGAAAGAAAGAAACAAAGAACTAGGGCCCCGGTGGGGCACTGTCGGGCCCGAGCCGCGTCGCGCCGCCCCCAGTGCGACCGCCTCCCCGTCCCGATCGAGTCACACTCAAGAACCAAAGATGGTGTGCGCACTTGTCTGTGGTCATTTCCCATTATAATGAATGGGAGGCGCAGTTTCTACCAAAACACTCGCTGCAGACAAACTTCATGTCCTATTTGAAAAAAGTCTGGACCATGAGTGAGGGCACAAACACAGCTATGATATATCGAAATGCCAGGTTGCTCCTCCTTACGGTGTTGCCTGGAGAGCAATGCGATTGAGCCATTGAGCGATGGGCAGGAAAAACTTGACTTTTTCTCCTGCCATAGGGGGGATGTGGATTCTTTTAAGAATGTGGATTTTTGGGTCATTTTTGGCGCCCCCTAGAACGTAAACCGTGGGGTGCAGCGTCATGATTTTTACAACTTTGAATGGCCATGGGGTGTAGATTGGCCTGAGCAAATTTGGTGTCAGAGGGACGAAAGCCTTAGGAGGAGTTAGCCACATTCCAATGTGTGCGAATCGGCAAAAAATGCAAAATAGCCCTTAAACCGTACATTTGACAGATACGCGCGAATTGACTTTTTTGTAGATCTTATTGAGATACATAGGTGTGTCAATTTTTGTGTCAATATGATAAAGCGTACAGGCGTGACAGTCAATAGTGTGAATTTCCACCTTAGGGGACAAGAAAAAATTGACTTTTTTCTCCTGCCATGGGGGGGCGCTCTTTTGGGGAGTAAAAATTCCTTCACAAATGTGTTGATGGCTGGACATTGCATCATCCTAGAAAACTTGGAGGCCAGTGAGGACAAAAATAAAAAGTTATAAGACTTTTAAATATGTGGATTTTAGGGTTATCTTTGGCGCCCCCTAGAACCTAAACCGTGGGATGCAGCGTCATGATTTGAATAACTTTTAATGGCCATGGGGTGTAGATTGGCCTGAGCAAATGTGGTGCCGGTGGAACGAAAGCCTTCGGAGGAGTTAGCGAAATTCCAATGTGTGCGGATCGGCAAAAAATGCAGAATAACCCTTTAACCGTACATTTGACAGATACGCGCGCATTGACTTTTTCGTAGATCTTATAGAGACACATGTGTGTGTCAATTTTTGTGTCATTTTGCCAAAGCGTACAGGTGTTACACTCAACAATGTGTATTTTCACCTTAGGGGACAAGAAAAAATTGACTTTTTTCTCCTGCCATGGGGGGCGCTCTTTTGGGGAGTAAAAATTCCTTCACAAATGTGTTGATGGCTGGACATTGCATCATCCTAGAAAACTTGGAGGCCAGTGAGGGCAAAAATAAAAAGTTATAAGACTTTTAAATATGTGGATTTTAGGGTTATTTTTGGCGCCCCCTAGAACCTAAACCGTGGGGTGCAGCGTCATGATTTGAATAACTTTTAATGGCCATGGGGTGTAGATTGGCCTGAGCAAATGTGGTGCCGGTGGAACGAAAGCCTTCGGAGGAGTTAGCGAAATTCCAATGTGTGCGGATCGGCAAAAAATGCGGAATAACCCTTTAACCGTACATTTGACAGATACGCGCGCATTGACTTTTTCGTAGATCTTATTGAGATACATGTGTGTGTCAATTTTTGTGTCATTTTGCCAAAGCGTACAGGTGTTACACTCAACAATGTGTATTTTCACCTTAGGGGACAAGAAAAAATGGACTTTTTTCTCCTGCCATGGGGGGGCGCTCTTTTGGGGAGTAAAAATTCCTTCACAAATGTGTTGATGGCTGGACATTGCATCATCCTAGAAAACTTGGAGGCCAGTGAGGGCAAAAATAAAAAGTTATAAGACTTTTAAATATGTGGATTTTAGGGTTATTTTTGGCGCCCCCTAGAACCTAAACCGTGGGGTGCAGCGTCATGATTTGAATAACTTTTAATGGCCATGGGGTGTAGATTGGCCTGAGCAAATGTGGTGCCGGTGGAACGAAAGCCTTAGGAGGAGTTAGCCACATTCCAATGTGTGCGGATCGGCAAAAAATGCGGAATAACCCTTTAACCGTACATTTGACAGATACGCGCGCATTGACTTTTTCGTAGATCTTATTGAGTTACATGTGTGTGTCAATTTTTGTGTCATTTTGACAAAGCGTATAGGCGTGACACTCAACAATGTGTATTTTCACCTTAGGGGACAAGAAAAAATGGACTTTTTTCTTCTGCCATGGGGGGGCGCTCTTTTGGGGAGTAAAAATTCCTTCACAAATGTGTTGATGGCTGGACATTGCATCATCCTAGAAAACTTGGAGGCCAGTGAGGACAAAAATAAAAAGTTATAAGACTTTTAAAAATGTGGATTTTTGGGTTATCTTTGGCGCCCCCTAGAACGTAAACCATGGGGTGCAGCGTCAAGATTTGAATAACTTTTAATGGCCATGGGGTGTAGATTGGCCTGAGCAAATTTGGTGCCGGTGGAACGAAAGCCTTCGGAGGAGTTAGCGAAATTCCAATGTGTGCGAATCGGCAAAAAATGCGGAATAACCCTTTAACCGTACATTTGACAGATACGCGCGCATTGACTTTTTTGTAGATCTTATTGAGATACATGTGTGTGTCAATTTTTGTGTCATTTTGACAAAGCGTACAGGCGTGACAGTCAATAGTGTGAATTTTCACCTTATGGGACAAGAAAAAATGAACTTTTTTCTCCTGCCATGGGGGGGCGCTCTTTTGGGGAGTAAAAATTCCTTCACAAATGTGTTGATGGCTGGACATTGCATCATCCTAGAAAACTTGGAGGCCAGTGAGGGCAAAAATAAAAAGTTATAAAACATTTAAGAATGTGGATTTTAGGGTTATCTTTGGCGCCCCCTAGAACCTAAACCGTGGGGTGCAGCGTCATGATTTGAATAACTTTTAATGGCCATGGGGTGTAGATTGGCCTGAGCAAATGTGGTGCCGGTGGAACGAAAGCCTTCGGAGGAGTTAGCGAAATTCCAATGTGTGCGGATCGGCAAAAAATGCGAAATAACCCTTTAACCGTACATTAGACAGATACGCCCGCACTGACTTTTTTGTAGATCTTATTGAGATACATGTGTGTGTCAATTTTTGTGTCATTTTGACAAAGCGTACAGGCGTGACAGTCAATAGTGTGAATTTTCACCTTATGGGACAAGAAAAAATGAACTTTTTTCTCCTGCCATGGGGGGCGCTCTTTTGGGGAGTAAAAATTCCTTCACAAATGTGTTGATGGCTGGACATTGCATCATCCTAGAAAACTTGGAGGCCAGTGAGGGCAAAAATAAAAAGTTATAAGACATTTAAAAATGTGGATTTTAGGGTTATCTTTGGCGCCCCCTAGAACCTAAACCGTGGGGTGCAGCGTCATGATTTGAATAACTTTTAATGGCCATGGGGTGTAGATTGGCCTGAGCAAATGTGGTGCCGGTGGAACGAAAGCCTTCGGAGGAGTTAGCGAAATTCCAATGTGTGCGGATCGGCAAAAAATGCGAAATAACCCTTTAACCGTACATTAGACAGATACGCCCGCACTGACTTTTTTGTAGATCTTATTGAGATACATGTGTGTGTCAATTTTTGTGTCATTTTGACAAAGCGTACAGGCGTGACAGTCAATAGTGTGAATTTTCACCTTAGGGGGCGCTATGGAGCCATTTTGCATTTTCTTGTTTGGGCGAATTCGGAATATCAAATTTTTCACCAGGCCCGGTCGTCCTGCCAAATTTCCTGAGTTTTCGCCAGTGGGAAGTGGGCCATTTTCCAGTTCAAAGGGGAGGAAAAAGAAGAAAGAAAGAAACAAAGAACTAGGGCCCCGGTGGGGCACTGTCGGGCCCGAGCCGCGTCGCGCCGCCCCCAGTGCGACCGCCTCCCCGTCCCGATCGAGTCACACTCAAGAACCAAAGATGGTGTGCGCACTTGTCTGTGGTCATTTCCCATTATAATGAATGGGAGGCGCAGTTTCTACCAAAACACTCGCTGCAGACAAACTTCATGTCCTATTTGAAAAAAGTCTGGACCATGAGTGAGGGCACAAACACAGCTATGATATATCGAAATGCCAGGTTGCTCCTCCTTACGGTGTTGCCTGGAGAGCAATGCGATTGAGCCATTGAGCGATGGGCAGGAAAAACTTGACTTTTTCTCCTGCCATAGGGGGGATGTGGATTCTTTTAAGAATGTGGATTTTTGGGTCATTTTTGGCGCCCCCTAGAACGTAAACCGTGGGGTGCAGCGTCATGATTTTTACAACTTTGAATGGCCATGGGGTGTAGATTGGCCTGAGCAAATTTGGTGTCAGAGGGACGAAAGCCTTAGGAGGAGTTAGCCACATTCCAATGTGTGCGAATCGGCAAAAAATGCAAAATAGCCCTTAAACCGTACATTTGACAGATACGCGCGAATTGACTTTTTTGTAGATCTTATTGAGATACATAGGTGTGTCAATTTTTGTGTCAATATGATAAAGCGTACAGGCGTGACAGTCAATAGTGTGAATTTCCACCTTAGGGGACAAGAAAAAATTGACTTTTTTCTCCTGCCATGGGGGGGCGCTCTTTTGGGGAGTAAAAATTCCTTCACAAATGTGTTGATGGCTGGACATTGCATCATCCTAGAAAACTTGGAGGCCAGTGAGGACAAAAATAAAAAGTTATAAGACTTTTAAATATGTGGATTTTAGGGTTATCTTTGGCGCCCCCTAGAACCTAAACCGTGGGATGCAGCGTCATGATTTGAATAACTTTTAATGGCCATGGGGTGTAGATTGGCCTGAGCAAATGTGGTGCCGGTGGAACGAAAGCCTTCGGAGGAGTTAGCGAAATTCCAATGTGTGCGGATCGGCAAAAAATGCAGAATAACCCTTTAACCGTACATTTGACAGATACGCGCGCATTGACTTTTTCGTAGATCTTATAGAGACACATGTGTGTGTCAATTTTTGTGTCATTTTGCCAAAGCGTACAGGTGTTACACTCAACAATGTGTATTTTCACCTTAGGGGACAAGAAAAAATTGACTTTTTTCTCCTGCCATGGGGGGCGCTCTTTTGGGGAGTAAAAATTCCTTCACAAATGTGTTGATGGCTGGACATTGCATCATCCTAGAAAACTTGGAGGCCAGTGAGGGCAAAAATAAAAAGTTATAAGACTTTTAAATATGTGGATTTTAGGGTTATTTTTGGCGCCCCCTAGAACCTAAACCGTGGGGTGCAGCGTCATGATTTGAATAACTTTTAATGGCCATGGGGTGTAGATTGGCCTGAGCAAATGTGGTGCCGGTGGAACGAAAGCCTTCGGAGGAGTTAGCGAAATTCCAATGTGTGCGGATCGGCAAAAAATGCGGAATAACCCTTTAACCGTACATTTGACAGATACGCGCGCATTGACTTTTTCGTAGATCTTATTGAGATACATGTGTGTGTCAATTTTTGTGTCATTTTGCCAAAGCGTACAGGTGTTACACTCAACAATGTGTATTTTCACCTTAGGGGACAAGAAAAAATGGACTTTTTTCTCCTGCCATGGGGGGCGCTCTTTTGGGGAGTAAAAATTCCTTCACAAATGTGTTGATGGCTGGACATTGCATCATCCTAGAAAACTTGGAGGCCAGTGAGGGCAAAAATAAAAAGTTATAAGACTTTTAAATATGTGGATTTTAGGGTTATTTTTGGCGCCCCCTAGAACCTAAACCGTGGGGTGCAGCGTCATGATTTGAATAACTTTTAATGGCCATGGGGTGTAGATTGGCCTGAGCAAATGTGGTGCCGGTGGAACGAAAGCCTTCGGAGGAGTTAGCGAAATTCCAATGTGTGCGGATCGGCAAAAAATGCGAAATAACCCTTTAACCGTACATTTGACAGATACGCCCGCACTGACTTTTTTGTAGATCTTACTGAGATACATGTGTGTGTCAATTTTTGTGTCATTTTGACAAAGCGTACAGGCGTGACAGTGAATAGTGTGAATTTTCACCTTAGGGGGCGCTATGGAGCCATTTTGCATTTTCTTGTTTGGGCGACTTCGGAATATCAAATTTTTCACCAGGCCCGGTCGTCCTGCCAAATTTCATGAGTTTTCGCCAGTGGGAAGTGGGCCATTTTCAAGTTCAAAGGGGAGGAAAAATAATAACTAGGGCCCCGTTGGGGCACTGGCGGGCCCGAGCCGTGTCACGCCGCCCCCAGCGCGACCGCCTCCCCCACCCGATCGCGTCACACTCAAGGTCCAAAGATGGTGTGCGCACTTGTTTGTGGTCATTTACCATTATAATGAACGGGAGGCGCAGTTTCTACCAAAACGCTCGCTGCAGAAAAACTCCATGTCCTATTTGAAAAAGTCTGGACCATGAGTGAGGGCACAAACACAGCTAAGATATATCCAAATGGCAAGTTGCTCCTCCTTTCGCTTTTGCCGAGAGAGCAGTGCGTTTGAGCCATTGAATGATGAACAGGAAAAACTTGACTTTATTCTCCTGCCATGGGGGGCGCTCTTTTAAAGAGAAAAACTCCTTCACAAATGTGTTGATGGCTGGACATTGCATCATCCTAGAAAACATGGAGGCCAGTGAGGACAAAAATAAAAAGTTATAAGACTTTTAAATATGTGGATTTTAGGGTTATATTTGGCGCGCCCTAGAACCTAAACCGTGGGGTGCAGCGTCATGATTTGAATAACTTTTAATGGCCATGGGGTGTAGATTGGCCTGAGCAAATGTGGTGCCGGTGGAACGAAAGCCTTCGGAGGAATTAGCGAAATTCCAATGTGTGCGAATCTGCAAAAAATGCGAAATAACCCTTTAACCGTACATTTTACAGATACGTGGCCATTGACTTTTTCGAAGATCTTATGTAAATACACGTGTATGTAAAATTTTTTGTCAATACGACAAAACATACAGGCGTAGCACTCAACAATGTGTATTTTCACCTTAGTGGACAAGAAAAAATTGACTTTTTTCTCCTGCCATGGCGGGGCGCTCTTTTGCCGAGTAAAAATTCCTTCACAAATGTGTTGATGGCTGGACATTGCATCATCCTAGAAAACTTGGAGGCCAGTGGGGACAAAAATAAAAAGTTATAAGACTTTTAAATATGTGGATTTTACGGTTATCTTTGGCTCCCCCTAGAACCTAAACCGTGGGGTGCAGCGTCATGATTTGAATAACTTTTAATGGCCATGGGGTGTAGATTGGCCTGAGCAAATGTGGTGCCGGTGGAACGAAAGCCTTCGGAGGAGTTAGCGAAATTCCAATGTGTGCGGATCGGCAAAAAATGCGGAATAACCCTTTAACCGTACATTTGACAGATACGCGCGCATTGACTTTTTCGTAGATCTTATTGAGATACATGTGTGTGTCAATTTTTGTGTCATTTTGCCAAAGCGTACAGGTGTTACACTCAACAATGTGTATTTTCACCTTAGGGGACAAGAAAAAATGGACTTTTTTCTCCTGCCATGGGGGGCGCTCTTTTGGGGAGTAAAAATTCCTTCACAAATGTGTTGATGGCTGGACATTGCATCATCCTAGAAAACTTGGAGGCCAGTGAGGGCAAAAATAAAAAGTTATAAGACTTTTAAATATGTGGATCTTAGGGTTATCTTTGGCGCCCCCTAGAACCTAAACCGTGGGGTGCAGCGTCATGATTTGAATAACTTTTAATGGCCATGGGGTGTAGATTGGCCTGAGCAAATGTGGTGCCGGTGGAACGAAAGCCTTCGGAGGAGTTAGCGAAATTCCAATGTGTGCGGATCGGCAAAAAATGCGAAATAACCCTTTAACCGTACATTTGACAGATACGCCCGCACTGACTTTTTTGTAGATCTTATTGAGATACATGTGTGTGTCAATTTTTGTGTCATTTTGACAAAGCGTACCGGCGTGACAGTGAATAGTGTGAATTTTCCCCTTAGGGGGCGCTATGGAGCCATTTTGCATTTTCTTGTTTGGGCGACTTCGGAATATCAAATTTTTCACCAGGCCCGGTCGTCCTGCCAAATTTCATGAGTTTTCGCCAGTGGGAAGTGGGCCATTTTCCAGTTCAAAGGGGAGGAAAAATAATAATAATAATAACAAAAGAAGGAAACTACAGGAACAAGAGGGCTCTCGCAGCTGCTTAGCAGCTACGCTCGGGCCCTAATAACAAAAGAAGGAAACTACAGGAACAAGAGGGCTCTCGCAGCTGCTTAGCAGCTACGCTCGGGCCCTAAAAACCCCTACAGGAATAACAGGGCCTACGCCCGGCTGCTCTGCAGCTGGCTCGGGCCCTAAATATTTGGGGTGTTCGGGTTTCCTGAAGGTAATACCCGGGTATTAGGTTATGGGGCTAGGGTAAGGTTTAAGGTTTTTGGCGTTAGAGTTAAAATCAGTGTCCAAAACCTTTTAAGGAACATGTTTAAGACCTTTTGGAGTTGGTTACACCCAAAAAAAAATGTAAAATGAAAAAAAAAATATGTGGGGTGTTCGGGCTTCCTGAAGGTAATACCCGGGTATTAGGTTTTGGGGCTAGGGTAAGGTTTAAGGTTTTTCGTGTTAGGGTTAAAATCACTGTCCAAAACCTTTGTAGGAACTCTTTTCCAACCTTTTGGAGTTAGTTAGACCAAAAAAAAAAAAAATGAAAAAAATATATTGGGGTCTTCGGGCTTCCTGAAGGAAATACCCAGGTATTAGGTTATGGGGCTAGGGTAAGGTTTAAGTTTTTTGGCGTTAGGGTTAAAATCAATGTCCAAAACCTTTTTAGGAACATGTTTCAGACCTTTTGGAGTAGGTTACACCAAAAAAAAATGTAAAATGAAAAAAAAATATTTGGGGTGTTCAAGCTTCCTGAAGGTAATACCCGGGTATTAGGTTATGGGGCTATAGTAAGGTTTAAGGTTTTCGGCGTTAGGGTTAAAATCACTGTCCAAAACCTTTGTAGGAACTATTTTCCAACCTTTTGGAGTTAGTTAGACCAAAAAAAAACGAAAAATGAAAAAAAATATTTGGGGTGTTCGGGCTTCCTGAAGGTAATACCAAGGTATTAGGTTATGGGGCTAGGGAAGGGTTTAAGGTTTTTGGCGTAAGGGTTAAAATCACTGTCCAAAACCTTTTTAGGAACATGTTTCAGACCTTTTGGAGTTGGTTACACCAAAAAAAATGTAAAATGAAAAAGAATTTTTTTTGGGTGTTCGGGCTTCCTGAAGGTAATACTAGGTTTCTGGGCTAGGGTAATGTTTTAGGTTTTTGGCGTTAGGGTTAAAATCAATGTCCAAAACCTTTGTAGGATTTCTTTTCCAACCTTTGAGAGCAAGTTAGACCAAAACAAAAAGAAAAATAAAAAATGTATATTTGGGGTGTTCGGGCTTCCTGAAGGTAATACCCGGGTATTAGGTTATGGGGCTAGGGTAAGGTTTAAGGTTTTTCGGCGTGAGGGTAAAAATCACTGTCCAAAACCTTTGTAGGAACTCTTTTCCAACCTTTGGGAATAAGTTAGACAAAAAAAATAAGATAAATGAAAAAAAAATATTTGGGGTGTTCGGGCTTCCTGAAGGTAATACCTGGGTATTAGGTTTTGGGGCTAGGGTTAGGTTTAAGGTTTTTGGCGTTAGGGTTAAAATAACTGTCCAATATTTTTAAAGGAACATGTTTCAGACCTTTGGGAGTTAGTTAGACAAAAAAAAAAGAAAAAGAAAAAAAATATATTTGGGGTGTTCGGGTTTCCTGAAGGTAATACCCGGGTATTAGGTTTTGGGGCTAGTGTAAGGTTTAAGGTTTTTGGCGTTAGGGTTAAAATCACTGTCCAAAACCTTTGTAGGAATGTTTTTCCGACCTTTTGGAGTTAGTTAGACCAAAAAAAAAAAAAGAATAATAAAAAATATATATTTGGGGTGTTCGGGCTTCCTGAAGAAAATACCCAGGTAATAGGTTATGGGGCAAGGGTAAGGTTTAAGGTTTTTGGTGTTAGGGTTAAAATCACTGTCCAAAACCTTTTTAGGAACATGTTTCAGACCTTTTGGAGTTGGTAACACCAAAAAAAATGTAAAATGAAAAAAAAATATTTGGGGTGTTCAAGCTTCCTGAAGGTAATACCCGGGTATTAGGTTATGGGGCTATAGTAAGGTTTAAGGTTTTTGGCGTTAGGGTTAAAATCACTGTCCAAAACCTTTGTAGGAACTATTTTCCAACCTTTTGGAGTTAGTTAGACCAAAAAAAAATGAAAAATGAAAAAAAATATTTGGGGTGTTCGGGCTAAAATCACTGTCCAAAACCTTTTTAGGAACATGTTTCAGACCTTTTGGAATTGGTAACACCCAAAAAAATGTAAAATGAAAAAAAAATATTTGGGGTGTTCAAGCTTCCTGAAGTATTAGGTTTTGGGGCTAGGGTTAGGTTTAAGGTTTTTGGCGTTAGGGTTAAAATAACTGTCCAATTTTTTTTAAGGAACATGTTTCAGACCTTTGGGAGTTAGTTAGACAAAAAAAAAAGAAAAAGAAAAAAAAAATATTTGGGGTGTTCGGGTTTCCTGAAGGTAATACCCGGGTATTAGGTTATGGGGCTAGGGTAAGGTTTAAGGTTTTTGGCGTAAGGGTTAAAATCACTGTCCAAAACCTTTTTAGGAACATGTTTCAGACCTTTTGGAGTTAGTTAGACCAAAAAAAATTGTAAAATGAAAAAAAAATATTTGGGGTGTTCAAGCTTCCTGAAGGTTATTCCCGGGTATTAGGTTATGGGGCTTTAGTAAGGTTTAAGGTTTTTGGCGATAGGGTTAAAATCACTGTCCAAAACCTTTGTAGGAACTATTTTCCAACCTTTTGGAGTTAGTTAGACAAAAAAAAAAAGATAAATGAAAAAAAAATATTTGGGGTGTTCGGGCTTCCTGAAGGTAATACCCGGGTATTAGGTTTTGGGGCTAGGGTTAGGTTTAAGGTTTTTGGCGTTAGGGTTAAAATAACTGTCCAATATTTTTTAAGGAACATGTTTCAGACCTTTGGGAGTTAGTTAGACCAAAAAAAAAAAAAAAGAAAAAAATATATATTTGGGGTGTTCGGGTTTCCTGAAGGTAATACCCGGGTATTAGGTTATGGGGCTAGGGTAAGGTTTAAGGTTTTTGGTGTTAGAGTTAAAATCAGTGTCCAAAACCTTTTTAGGAACATGTTTAAGACCTTTTAGAGTTGGTTACACCAAAAAAAAAATGTAAAATGAAAAAAAAATATTTGGGGTGTTCGGGCTTCCTGAAGGTAAGGTAATTAGGTTTTGGGGCTAGGGTTAGGTTTAAGGTTTTTGGCGTTAGGGTTAAAATAACTGTCCAATATTTTTTAAGGAACATGTTTCAGACCTTTGGGAGTTAGTTAGACCAAAAAAAGAAAAAAGAAAAAAATATATTTGGGGTCTTCGGGCTTCCTGAAGGAAATACCCAGGTATTAGGTTATGGGGCTAGGGTAAGGTTTAAGGTTTTTGGCGTTAGGGTTAAAATCAATGTCCAAAACCTTTTTAGGAACATGTTTCAGACCTTTTGGAGTAGGTTACACCAAAAAAAAAATGTAAAATGAAAAAAAAATATTTGGGGTGTTCAAGCTTCCTGAAGGTAATACCCGGGTATTAGGTTATGGGGCTATAGTAAGGTTTAAGGTTTTTGGCGTTAGGGTTAAAATCACTGTCCAAAACCTTTGTAGGAACTATTTTCCAACCTTTTGGAGTTAGTTAGACAAAAAAAAAAAAGATAAATGAAAAAAAAATATTTGGGGTGTTCGGGCTTCCTGAAGGTAATACCCGGGTATTAGGTTATGGGGCTGGGGTAAGGTTTAAGGTTTTTGGCGTAAGGGTTAAAATCACTGTCCAAAACCTTTTAAGGAACATGTTTCAGACCTTTTGGAGTTGGTTACACCAAAAAAAATGTAAAATGAAAAAAAATTTATTTTGGGTGTTCGGGCTTCCTGAAGGTAATACCCGGGTATTAGGTTTCTGGGCTAGGGTAATGTTTAAGTTTTTTGGCGTTAGGGTTGAAATCAATGTCCAAATCCTTTGTAGGAACTCTTTTCCAACCTTTGAGAGCAAGTTAGACCAAAACAAATAGAAAAATAAAAAATATATATTTGGGGTGTTCGGGCTTCCTGAAGGTAATACCCGGGTATTAGGTTATGGGGCTAGGGTAAGGTTTAAGGTATTTCGGCGTGAGGGTAAAAATCACTGTCCAAAACCTTTGTAGGAACTCTTTTCCAACCTTTGGGAATTAGTTAGACAAAAAAAAGATAAATGAAAAAAAAATATTTGGGGTGTTCGGGCTTCCTGAAGGTAATACCCGGGTATTAGGTTATGGGGCTAGGGTAAGGTTTAAGGTTTTTGGCGTAAGGGTTAAAATCACTGTCCAAAACCTTTTTAGGAACATGTTTCAGACCTTTTGGAGTTGGTTACACCAAAAAAAATGTAAAATGAAAAAAAATTTTTTTTGGGTGTTCGGGCTTCCTGAAGGTAATACCCGGGTATTAGGTTTTGGGGCTAGGGTAAGGTTTAAGGTTTTTGGTGTTAGGGTTAAAATCACTGTCCAAAACCTTTGTAGGAACTCTTTTCCAACCTTTTGGAGTTAGTTAGACCAAAAAAAAAAGAAAAAAGAAAAAAATATATTTGGGGTCTTCGGGCTTCCTGAAGGAAATACCCGGGTATTAGGTTATGGGGCTAGGGTAAGGTTTAAGGTTTTTTGGTGTTAGGGTTAAAATCAATGTCCAAAACCTTTTTAGGAACATGTTTCAGACCTTTTGGAGTAGGTTACACCAAAAAAAATGTAAAATGAAAAAAAAATATTTGGGGTGTTCAAGCTTCCTGAAGGTAATACCTGGGTATTAGGTTATGGGGCTATAGTAAGGTTTAAGGTTTTTGGCGTTAGGGTTAAAATCACTGTCCAAAACCTTTGTAGGAACTATTTTCCAACCTTTTGGAGTTAGTTAGACCAAAAAAAAACGAAAAATGAAAAAAAATATTTGGGGTGTTCGGGTTTCCTGAAGGTAATACCCGGGTATTTGGTTATGGGGCTATAGTAAGGTTAAAGGTTTTTGGCGTTAGGGTTAAAATCACTGACCAAAACCTTTTTAGGAACATGTTTAAGACCTTTTGGAGTTTGTTACACCAAAAAAAAATGTGAAATGAAAAAAAATATATTTGGGGTGTTCGGGCTTCCTGAAGGTAATACCCGGGTATTAGGTTTTGGGGCTAGGGTAAGGTTTAAGGTTTTTGGTGTTAGGGTTAAAATCACTGTCCAAAACCTTTGTAGGAACTCTTTTCCAACCTTTTGGAGTTAGTTAGACCAAAAAAAAAGAAAAAAGAAAAAAACATATTTGGGGTCTTCGGGCTTCCTGAAGGAAATACCCGTATTAGGTTATGGGGCTCGGGTAAGGTTTAAGGTTTTTTGGTGTTAGGGTTAAAATCAATGTCCAAAACCTTTTTAGGAACATGTTTCAGACCTTTTGGAGTTGGTTACACCAAAAAAAATGTAAAAAGAAAAAGAATTTTTTTTGGGTGTTCGGGCTTCCTGAAGGTAATACTAGGTTTCTGGGCTAGGGTAATGCTTTAAGTTTTTTGGCGTTAGGGTTAAAATCAATGTCCAAAACCTTTGTAGGAACTCTTTTCCAACCTTTGAGAGCAAGTTAGACCAAAAAAAAAAAAATGAAAAAAATATATTTGGGGTCTTCGGGCTTCCTTAAGGAAATAACCGGGTATGAGGTTATGGGGCTAGGGTAAGGTTTAAGGTTTTTGGCGTTAGGGTTAAAATCACTGTCCAAAACCTTTGTAGGAACTCTTTTCCAACCTTTTGGAGTTAGATAGAGCAAAAACTAACGAAAAATAAAAAAAAAATATTTGGGGTTTTTGGGCTTCTGAAGGTAATACCCGGGTATTAGGTCATGGGGCTATAGTAAGGTTTAAGGTTTTTGACGTGAGTGTTAAAATCACTGTCCAAAACCTTTGTAGGACCTCTTTCCAACCTTTTGGTGTTAGTTAGACCAAAAAAAAAACGAACAATGAAAAAAAAATATTTGGGGTTTTTGGGCTTCCTGAAGTTAATACCCGGGTATTAGGTTATGGGGCTAGGGTAAGGTTTAAGGTTTTAGGCGTTAGGTTTAAAATCACTGTCCAAAATTTTTTTAGGAACATGTTTAAGACCTTTTGGAGTTGGTTACACCAAAAAAAATGTAAAAAGAAAAAATATATATTTGGGTTCATATTTGGGTTTTTATTTCAAGTTCAACAATTGCAACAACCTCAAGTTCAAAAACCGCCACAAACTCAAGTTCAAAAACACCACAACCTCAAGTTCAAAAAACACCACAAACTCAAGTTCAAACACGACACAAACTGAAGTTCAACAAACACAAAAACTCGAGTTCAAAAACACCACAACCTCAAGTTCAAACACGACACAAACTCAAGTTCAACAAACACCACAAACTCAAGTTCAAAAACAAAACAAACTCGAGTTCAAAAACACCACAAAATCAAGTTCAAACACGTCACAAACTTAAATTCAACAATTGCCACAACCTCAAGTTCAAAGACACCAAAAACTCAAGTTCAAAAAACACCACAAACTGAAGTTCAAACACGACACAAACTCAAGTTCAACAAACACACAAACTCAAGTTCAACCAATACCCAATTATCAAGTTCAACAATTGCCAAAACCTCAAGTTCAGAAACAACAAACTCAAGTTAAAAAAACACACAAACTCAAGTTCAACCAACACCTGATTCTCAAGTTTTTACAATTTCCACAACCTCAAGTTCAAAAACAACACAAACTCAAGTACAAAAAAAAAACATAAACTAAAGTTCAATCAAAGCACAAAATCAAGTTCAACAAAAACCACAAACTCAAGTTCAACCAACACCTGATTCTCAAGTTTTAACAATTTTCACAACCTCAAGTTCAAAAACCACCACAAACTCAAGTTCAAACACGCCACAATCTCAAGTTCAAACACGCCACAAACTCAAGTTCAAAAACCTCCACAAACTCAATTCAAAAATACCACGACCTCAAGTTCAAACACAACACAAGCTGGAGTTCAACATACACCACTAACTCAAGTTCAACAAATGGCAAAGTTTTAAGTTCAACCAACACCCAAATCTCAAGTTTAACAATTGCAACAACCTCAAGTTCAAACACGCCACGAACTCAAGTCAAAAACACCACAACCTCAAGTTCAAAAAACACCACAAACTCAAGTTCAAACACGACACAAACTGAAGTTCAACAAACACAAAAACTCGAGTTCAAAAACAACACAACCTCAAGTTCAAACGACACAAACTCAAATTCCACAAACACCACGAACTCAAGTTAAAAAAACACCACAAACTCAAGTTCAAAAACACCACAAAATCAAGTTCAAACACGTCACAAACTCAAGTTCAACAATTGCCACAACCTCAAGTTCAAAAACCGCCACAAACTCAAGTTCAAAAAAACACACAACCTCAAGTTCAAAAAACACCACAAACTCAAGTTCAAACACGACACAAACTGAAGTTCAACAAACACAAAGACTCGAGTTCAAAAACACCACAAACTGAAGTTCAAACATGACACAAACTCAAGTTCAAAAAAAACACAAACTCAAGTTCAACCAATACCCAATTCTCAAGTTTAACAATTTCCACAACCTCAAGTTCAAAAACACCACAAACTCGAGTTCAAAAACACCACAAAATCATGTTTAAACACGTCACAAACTCAAGTTTAACAAATGCCACAAACTCAAGTTCAACAATTGCCACCAACTAAAGTTCACTAAAAACAACAGACTCAAGTTCAACAATTGCCAAAACCTCAAGTTCAGAAACAACAAACTCAAGTTAAAAAAACACACAAACTCGAGTTAAACAAACACGCAAACTCAAGTTTAAAAACACCAAAACCTCAAGCTCAAAAACGACAAAAACTCAAGTTCAACAAAAACCACAAACTCAAGCTAAAAAAAAACCACAAACTCAAGTTCAACCAACACCTGATTCTCAAGTTTTAACAATTTTCACAACCTCAAGTTCAAAAACCACCACAAACTCAAGTTCAAACACGCCACAATCTCAAGCTCAAAAACACCACAACCTCAAGCTCAAAAAACACCACAAACTCAAGTTCAAACACTACACAAACTCAAGTTCAAAAACAACACAAACTCAAGTTCAACCAATACCCAATTTTGGGGTTTAACAATTTCCATAACCTCAAGATCAACAAACACACAAACTCAATTTCAAAAATACCACAAACTCAAGTTCGAACACGACACAAACTCAAGTTCAACAAACACACAAACTCAACTTCAACCAACACCTGATTCTCAAGTTTAACAATTTCCACAACCTCAAGTTCAAAAACAACAGAAAACCAAGTTGAACCAACACCCGATTCTCAAGTTTAACAATTTCCACAAACTCAAGTTCAAAAACACAACAAACTCAAGTACAAAAATGACACAAACTAATGTTAAACAAACAGCTCAAACTCAAGTTCAACAAATGTCAAAGTTTTAAGTTCAACCAACACCAAAATCTCAATTTAACAATTGCAACAACCTCAAGTTCAAACACGCCACAAACTCAAGTTCAAAAACACCACAACCTCAAGTTCAAAAACACCATAAACTCAAGTTCAAACATGACACAAACAAAAGTTCAACAAACACCACAAATTCAAGTTCAACAAATGTCAAAATTTTAAGTTCAACCAACACCCAAAACTCAAGTTTCACAATTGCAAACAACCTAAAGTTCAAAAACGCCACAAACTCAAGTTCAAACACGACACAAACTCGAGTTCAACGAACACCAAAAACTCAAGTTCAAAAACACCACAAACTCAAGTTCAAACACCTCACAAACTCAAGTTCAACAAACACCACAAACTCAAGTTCAACCAACACCCAATCCTCAATTTTAACAATTTCCACAAACTGAAGTTCAACAAATGACAAACTTTTAAGTTCAACCAACACCCAAATCTCAATTTTAGAAATTGCCACAACCTAAACTTCAAAAGCAACACAAACTCAAGTTCAGAAACACCACAACCTCAAGCTCAAAAAACACCACAAACCGAAGTTCAAACACGACACAAACTCAAGTTCAACAAACACACAAACTCAATTTCAACCAATACCCAATTCTCAAGTTTAACAAATTCCACAACCTCAAGTTCAAAAACACCACAAACTCAAGTTCAACAAAAACCACAAACCCAAGTTCAACAAATGTCAAACTCAAGTTCAACAATTGCCACAAACTCAAGTTCAGAAACAACAAACTCAATTTAAAACACGACACAAACTCAAGTTTAACAAACACGCAAACTCAAATTCAAAAACACCACAAACTCGAGCTCAAACACGACACAAACTCAAGTTAAAAAAAAACAAATACTCAAGTTCAATCAACACCTGATTCTCAAGTTTAACAAGTTCCACAACCTCAAGTTGAAAAATAACACAAACTCAAGTACAAAACACCACAAACTCAAGTTCAAAAACACCACAACCTCAAGCTTAAAAAACACCACAAACTGAAGTTAAAACACAACACAATCTCTTGTTCAACAAACACACAAACTCAAGTTCAACCAATACCCAAATCTCAAGTTTCACAATTTCCAACACCTCAAGTTCAAAAAACACACAAACTCAAGTTTGAAAACACCACAAACTCAAGTTCAAACAAGACACAAACTTAAGTTCAACAAACACACAAACTCAAGTTCAACAAATGCCAAACTTTTAAGTTGAACCAACACCCAAATCTCAAGTTCAACAATTGCCACAACCTAGAGTTCAACAAACGCCACAAACTCAAGTTCAAACACGAAACAAACTCAAGTTCAAAAACACCACAACCTCAAGTTCAAAAACACAACACACTCTCAAGTTCAAAAACACCACAAACTCAAGTTCAACCACGATTCAAACTCAAGTTCAAAAACACCACAAACTCAAGTTCAGACACCAAAAACTAAAGTTCAAAAAACACACAAACTCAAGTTTGAAAACACCACAAACTCAAGTTCAAACAAGACACAAACTTAAGTTCAACAAACACACAAACTCAAGTTCAACAAATGCCAAACTTTTAAGTTGAACCAACACCCAAATCTCAAGTTCAACAATTGCCACAACCTAGAGTTCAACAAACGCCACAAACTCAAGTTCAAACACGAAACAACCTCAAGTTCAAAAACACCACAAACTCAAGTTCAAAAACACAACACACCCTCAAGTTCAAAAACACCAAAAACCCAAGTTCAAAAACACCACAAACAAAGTTCAAACACGAAACAAACTCAAGTTCAAAAACACCACAAACTCAAGTTCAACAATTGCCACCAATTAAAGTTCACCAAAAACCACAGACTCAAGTTCAACAATTGCCACAAACTTAAGTTCAAAAAAATTAAGTTCAAAAAACACACAAATTCAAGTTCAACAAACAACACGAACTCAAGTTCAAACACAACACAAACTCAAGTTCAACCAACAACCAAATCTCAAGTTTAACAATTGCCACAACCTAGAGTTCAACAAACACACAAACTCAAGTTCAAAAAGACCACAAACTCAAGTTCAAACATGATACAAACTCAAGTTCAACAAACACACAAACTCAAATTCAACCAATACCCAATTCTCAAGTTTAACAAATTCCACACCCTCAAGTTCAAAAACACCAAAAACTCAAGTTCAAAAACACGACACAAACTCAAGTTCATACACGACACAAACTCAAGTTCAAACATAACACAAACTCAAGTTCAACAAACACACAAACTCAAGTTAAACAAACAAGAAACCTCAAGTTCAAAAACACCACAACCTCAAGATCAAACACGAAACAAACTCAAGTTCAATCAACACCCAAATCTCAAGTTTACGTTTTTCCACAACCTCAAGTTGAAAAATAACACAAACTCAAGTACAAAACACCACAAACTCAAGTTCAAAAACACCACAACCTCAAGTTCAAAAAACACTACAAACTGAAGTTAAAACACAACACAATCTCTTGTTCAACAAACACACAAACTCAAGTTCAACCAATACCCAATTCTCAAGTTTCACAATTTCCAACACCTCAAGTTCAAAAACACCACAAACTCAAGTTTGAAAACACCACAAACTCAAGTTCAAACAAGACACAAACTTAAGTTCAACAAACACACAAACTCAAGTTCAACAAATGCCAAACTTTTAAGTTGAACCAACACCCAAATCTCAAGTTCAACAATTGCCACAACCTAGAGTTCAACAAACGCCACAAACTCAAGTGCAAACAAGAAACAAACTCAAGTTCAAAAACACCACAACCTCAAGTTCAAAAACACAACACACCCTCAATTTCGAAAACACCACAAAATCAAGTTCAACCACGATTCAAACTCAAGTTCAAAAACACCACAAACTCAAGTTCAAAGACACCAAAACTAAAGTTCAAAAACACCACAACCTCAAGTTCAAAAACACAACACACCCTCAATTTCGAAAACACCACAAAATCAAGTTCAACCACGATTCAAACTCAAGTTCAAAAACACCACAAACTCAAGTTCAAAGACACCAAAACTAAAGTTCAAAAAACACCACAAACTCAAGTTCAAACAAGACACAAACTTAAGTTCAACAAACACACAAACTTAAGTTCAACAAATGCCAAACTTTTAAGTTGAACCAACACCCAAATCTCAAGTTCAACAATTGCCACAACCTAGAGTTCAAAAACACCACAACCTCAAGTTCAAAAACACAACACACTCTCAAGTTCAAAAACACCACAAACTCAAGTTCAACCACGATTCAAACTCAAGTTCAAAAACACCACAAACTCAAGTTCAGACACCAAAAACTAAAGTTCAAAAAACACACAAACTCAAGTTTGAAAACACCACAAACTCAAGTTCAAACAAGACACAAACTTAAGTTCAACAAACACACAAACTCAAGTTCAACAAATGCCAAACTTTTAAGTTGAACCAACACCCAAATCTCAAGTTCAACAATTGCCACAACCTAGAGTTCAACAAACGCCACAAACTCAAGTTCAAACACGAAACAACCTCAAGTTCAAAAACACCACAAACTCAAGTTCAAAAACACAACACACCCTCAAGTTCAAAAACACCAAAAACCCAAGTTCAAAAACACCACAAACAAAGTTCAAACACGAAACAAACTCAAGTTCAAAAACACCACAAACTCAAGTTCAACAATTGCCACCAATTAAAGTTCACCAAAAACCACAGACTCAAGTTCAACAATTGCCACAAACTCAAGTTCAAAAAAATTAAGTTCAAAAAACACACAAATTCAAGTTCAACAAACAACACGAACTCAAGTTCAAACACAACACAAACTCAAGTTCAACCAACAACCAAATCTCAAGTTTAACAATTGCCACAACCTAGAGTTCAACAAACACACAAACTCAATTTCAACCAATACCCAATTCTCAAGTTTAACAAATTCCACAACCTCAAGTTCAAAAACACCACAAACTCAAGTTCAACAAAAACCACAAACCCAAGTTCAACAAATGTCAAACTCAAGTTCAACAATTGCCACAAACTCAAGTTCAGAAACAACAAACTCAATTTAAAACACGACACAAACTCAAGTTTAACAAACACGCAAACTCAAATTCAAAAACACCACAAACTCGAGCTCAAACACGACACAAACTCAAGTTAAAAAAAAACAAATACTCAAGTTCAATCAACACCTGATTCTCAAGTTTAACAAGTTCCACAACCTCAAGTTGAAAAATAACACAAACTCAAGTACAAAACACCACAAACTCAAGTTCAAAAACACCACAACCTCAAGCTTAAAAAACGCCACAAACTGAAGTTAAAACACAACACAATCTCTTGTTCAACAAACACACAAACTCAAGTTCAACCAATACCCAAATCTCAAGTTTCACAATTTCCAACACCTCAAGTTCAAAAAACACACAAACTCAAGTTTGAAAACACCACAAACTCAAGTTCAAACAAGACACAAACTTAAGTTCAACAAACACACAAACTCAAGTTCAACAAATGCCAAACTTTTAAGTTGAACCAACACCTAAATCTCAAGTTCAACAATTGCCACAACCTAGAGTTCAACAAACGCCACAAACTCAAGTTCAAACACGAAACAAACTCAAGTTCAAAAACACCACAACCTCAAGTTCAAAAACACAACACACTCTCAAGTTCAAAAACACCACAAACTCAAGTTCAACCACGATTCAAACTCAAGTTCAAAAACACCACAAACTCAAGTTCAGACACCAAAAACTAAAGTTCAAAAAACACACAAACTCAAGTTTGAAAACACCACAAACTCAAGTTCAAACAAGACACAAACTTAAGTTCAACAAACACACAAACTCAAGTTCAACAAATGCCAAACTTTTAAGTTGAACCAACACCCAAATCTCAAGTTCAACAATTGCCACAACCTAGAGTTCAACAAACGCCACAAACTCAAGTTCAAACACGAAACAACCTCAAGTTCAAAAACACCACAAACTCAAGTTCAAAAACACAACACACCCTCAAGTTCAAAAACACCAAAAACCCAAGTTCAAAAACACCACAAACAAAGTTCAAACACGAAACAAACTCAAGTTCAAAAACACCACAAACTCAAGTTCAACAATTGCCACCAATTAAAGTTCACCAAAAACCACAGACTCAAGTTCAACAATTGCCACAAACTTAAGTTCAAAAAAATTAAGTTCAAAAAACACACAAATTCAAGTTCAACAAACAACACGAACTCAAGTTCAAACACAACACAAACTCAAGTTCAACCAACAACCAAATCTCAAGTTTAACAATTGCCACAACCTAGAGTTCAACAAACACACAAACTCAAGTTCAAAAAGACCACAAACTCAAGTTCAAACATGATACAAACTCAAGTTCAACAAACACACAAACTCAAATTCAACCAATACCCAATTCTCAAGTTTAACAAATTCCACACCCTCAAGTTCAAAAACACCAAAAACTCAAGTTCAAAAACACGACACAAACTCAAGTTCATACACGACACAAACTCAAGTTCAAACATAACACAAACTCAAGTTCAACAAACACACAAACTCAAGTTAAACAAACAAGAAACCTCAAGTTCAAAAACACCACAACCTCAAGATCAAACACGAAACAAACTCAAGTTCAATCAACACCCAAATCTCAAGTTTACGTTTTTCCACAACCTCAAGTTGAAAAATAACACAAACTCAAGTACAAAACACCACAAACTCAAGTTCAAAAACACCACAACCTCAAGTTCAAAAAACACTACAAACTGAAGTTAAAACACAACACAATCTCTTGTTCAACAAACACACAAACTCAAGTTCAACCAATACCCAATTCTCAAGTTTCACAATTTCCAACACCTCAAGTTCAAAAACACCACAAACTCAAGTTTGAAAACACCACAAACTCAAGTTCAAACAAGACACAAACTTAAGTTCAACAAACACACAAACTCAAGTTCAACAAATGCCAAACTTTTAAGTTGAACCAACACCCAAATCTCAAGTTCAACAATTGCCACAACCTAGAGTTCAACAAACGCCACAAACTCAAGTGCAAACAAGAAACAAACTCAAGTTCAAAAACACCACAACCTCAAGTTCAAAAACACAACACACCCTCAATTTCGAAAACACCACAAAATCAAGTTCAACCATGATTCAAACTCAAGTTCAAAAACACCACAAACTCAAGTTCAAAGACACCAAAACTAAAGTTCAAAAACACCACAACCTCAAGTTCAAAAACACAACACACCCTCAATTTCGAAAACACCACAAAATCAAGTTCAACCACGATTCAAACTCAAGTTCAAAAACACCACAAACTCAAGTTCAAAGACACCAAAACTAAAGTTCAAAAAACACCACAAACTCAAGTTCAAACAAGACACAAACTTAAGTTCAACAAACACACAAACTTAAGTTCAACAAATGCCAAACTTTTAAGTTGAACCAACACCCAAATCTCAAGTTCAACAATTGCCACAACCTAGAGTTCAAAAACACCACAACCTCAAGTTCAAAAACACAACACACTCTCAAGTTCAAAAACACCACAAACTCAAGTTCAACCACGATTCAAACTCAAGTTCAAAAACACCACAAACTCAAGTTCAGACACCAAAAACTAAAGTTCAAAAAACACACAAACTCAAGTTTGAAAACACCACAAACTCAAGTTCAAACAAGACACAAACTTAAGTTCAACAAACACACAAACTCAAGTTCAACAAATGCCAAACTTTTAAGTTGAACCAACACCCAAATCTCAAGTTCAACAATTGCCACAACCTAGAGTTCAACAAACGCCACAAACTCAAGTTCAAACACGAAACAACCTCAAGTTCAAAAACACCACAAACTCAAGTTCAAAAACACAACACACCCTCAAGTTCAAAAACACCAAAAACCCAAGTTCAAAAACACCACAAACAAAGTTCAAACACGAAACAAACTCAAGTTCAAAAACACCACAAACTCAAGTTCAACAATTGCCACCAATTAAAGTTCACCAAAAACCACAGACTCAAGTTCAACAATTGCCACAAACTCAAGTTCAAAAAAATTAAGTTCAAAAAACACACAAATTCAAGTTCAACAAACAACACGAACTCAAGTTCAAACACAACACAAACTCAAGTTCAACCAACAACCAAATCTCAAGTTTAACAATTGCCACAACCTAGAGTTCAACAAACACACAAACTCAATTTCAACCAATACCCAATTCTCAAGTTTAACAAATTCCACAACCTCAAGTTCAAAAACACCACAAACTCAAGTTCAACAAAAACCACAAACCCAAGTTCAACAAATGTCAAACTCAAGTTCAACAATTGCCACAAACTCAAGTTCAGAAACAACAAACTCAATTTAAAACACGACACAAACTCAAGTTTAACAAACACGCAAACTCAAATTCAAAAACACCACAAACTCGAGCTCAAACACGACACAAACTCAAGTTAAAAAAAAACAAATACTCAAGTTCAATCAACACCTGATTCTCAAGTTTAACAAGTTCCACAACCTCAAGTTGAAAAATAACACAAACTCAAGTACAAAACACCACAAACTCAAGTTCAAAAACACCACAACCTCAAGCTTAAAAAACGCCACAAACTGAAGTTAAAACACAACACAATCTCTTGTTCAACAAACACACAAACTCAAGTTCAACCAATACCCAAATCTCAAGTTTCACAATTTCCAACACCTCAAGTTCAAAAAACACACAAACTCAAGTTTGAAAACACCACAAACTCAAGTTCAAACAAGACACAAACTTAAGTTCAACAAACACACAAACTCAAGTTCAACAAATGCCAAACTTTTAAGTTGAACCAACACCCAAATCTCAAGTTCAACAATTGCCACAACCTAGAGTTCAACAAACGCCACAAACTCAAGTTCAAACACGAAACAAACTCAAGTTCAAAAACACCACAACCTCAAGTTCAAAAACACAACACACTCTCAAGTTCAAAAACACCACAAACTCAAGTTCAACCACGATTCAAACTCAAGTTCAAAAACACCACAAACTCAAGTTCAGACACCAAAAACTAAAGTTCAAAAAACACACAAACTCAAGTTTGAAAACACCACAAACTCAAGTTCAAACAAGACACAAACTTAAGTTCAACAAACACACAAACTCAAGTTCAACAAATGCCAAACTTTTAAGTTGAACCAACACCCAAATCTCAAGTTCAACAATTGCCACAACCTAGAGTTCAACAAACGCCACAAACTCAAGTTCAAACACGAAACAACCTCAAGTTCAAAAACACCACAAACTCAAGTTCAAAAACACAACACACCCTCAAGTTCAAAAACACCAAAAACCCAAGTTCAAAAACACCACAAACAAAGTTCAAACACGAAACAAACTCAAGTTCAAAAACACCACAAACTCAAGTTCAACAATTGCCACCAATTAAAGTTCACCAAAAACCACAGACTCAAGTTCAACAATTGCCACAAACTTAAGTTCAAAAAAATTAAGTTCAAAAAACACACAAATTCAAGTTCAACAAACAACACGAACTCAAGTTCAAACACAACACAAACTCAAGTTCAACCAACAACCAAATCTCAAGTTTAACAATTGCCACAACCTAGAGTTCAACAAACACACAAACTCAAGTTCAAAAAGACCACAAACTCAAGTTCAAACATGATACAAACTCAAGTTCAACAAACACACAAACTCAAATTCAACCAATACCCAATTCTCAAGTTTAACAAATTCCACACCCTCAAGTTCAAAAACACCAAAAACTCAAGTTCAAAAACACGACACAAACTCAAGTTCATACACGACACAAACTCAAGTTCAAACATAACACAAACTCAAGTTCAACAAACACACAAACTCAAGTTAAACAAACAAGAAACCTCAAGTTCAAAAACACCACAACCTCAAGATCAAACACGAAACAAACTCAAGTTCAATCAACACCCAAATCTCAAGTTTACGTTTTTCCACAACCTCAAGTTGAAAAATAACACAAACTCAAGTACAAAACACCACAAACTCAAGTTCAAAAACACCACAACCTCAAGTTCAAAAAACACTACAAACTGAAGTTAAAACACAACACAATCTCTTGTTCAACAAACACACAAACTCAAGTTCAACCAATACCCAATTCTCAAGTTTCACAATTTCCAACACCTCAAGTTCAAAAACACCACAAACTCAAGTTTGAAAACACCACAAACTCAAGTTCAAACAAGACACAAACTTAAGTTCAACAAACACACAAACTCAAGTTCAACAAATGCCAAACTTTTAAGTTGAACCAACACCCAAATCTCAAGTTCAACAATTGCCACAACCTAGAGTTCAACAAACGCCACAAACTCAAGTGCAAACAAGAAACAAACTCAAGTTCAAAAACACCACAACCTCAAGTTCAAAAACACAACACACCCTCAATTTCGAAAACACCACAAAATCAAGTTCAACCACGATTCAAACTCAAGTTCAAAAACACCACAAACTCAAGTTCAAAGACACCAAAACTAAAGTTCAAAAAACACCACAAACTCAAGTTCAAACAAGACACAAACTTAAGTTCAACAAACACACAAACTTAAGTTCAACAAATGCCAAACTTTTAAGTTGAACCAACACCCAAATCTCAAGTTCAACAATTGCCACAACCTAGAGTTCAAAAACACCACAACCTCAAGTTCAAAAACACAACACACTCTCAAGTTCAAAAACACCACAAACTCAAGTTCAACCACGATTCAAACTCAAGTTCAAAAACACCACAAACTCAAGTTCAGACACCAAAAACTAAAGTTCAAAAAACACACAAACTCAAGTTTGAAAACACCACAAACTCAAGTTCAAACAAGACACAAACTTAAGTTCAACAAACACACAAACTCAAGTTCAACAAATGCCAAACTTTTAAGTTGAACCAACACCCAAATCTCAAGTTCAACAATTGCCACAACCTAGAGTTCAACAAACGCCACAAACTCAAGTTCAAACACGAAACAACCTCAAGTTCAAAAACACCACAAACTCAAGTTCAAAAACACAACACACCCTCAAGTTCAAAAACACCAAAAACCCAAGTTCAAAAACACCACAAACAAAGTTCAAACACGAAACAAACTCAAGTTCAAAAACACCACAAACTCAAGTTCAACAATTGCCACCAATTAAAGTTCACCAAAAACCACAGACTCAAGTTCAACAATTGCCACAAACTCAAGTTCAAAAAAATTAAGTTCAAAAAACACACAAATTCAAGTTCAACAAACAACACGAACTCAAGTTCAAACACGACACAAACTCAAGTTCAACCAACAACCAAATCTCAAGTTTAACAATTGCCACAACCTAGAGTTCAACAAACACACAAACTCAAGTTCAAAAAGACCACAAACTCAAGTTCAAACATGATACAAACTCAAGTTCAACAAACACACAAACTCAAATTCAACCAATACCCAATTCTCAAGTTTAACAAATTCCACACCCTCAAGTTCAAAAACACCAAAAACTCAAGTTCAAAAACACGACACAAACTCAAGTTCATACACGACACAAACTCAAGTTCAAACATAACACAAACTCAAGTTCAACAAACACACAAACTCAAGTTAAACAAACAAGAAACCTCAAGTTCAAAAACACCACAACCTCAAGATCAAACACGAAACAAACTCAAGTTCAATCAACACCCAAATCTCAAGTTTACGTTTTTCCACAACCTCAAGTTGAAAAATAACACAAACTCAAGTACAAAACACCACAAACTCAAGTTCAAAAACACCACAACCTCAAGTTCAAAAAACACTACAAACTGAAGTTAAAACACAACACAATCTCTTGTTCAACAAACACACAAACTCAAGTTCAACCAATACCCAATTCTCAAGTTTCACAATTTCCAACACCTCAAGTTCAAAAACACCACAAACTCAAGTTTGAAAACACCACAAACTCAAGTTCAAACAAGACACAAACTTAAGTTCAACAAACACACAAACTCAAGTTCAACAAATGCCAAACTTTTAAGTTGAACCAACACCCAAATCTCAAGTTCAACAATTGCCACAACCTAGAGTTCAACAAACGCCACAAACTCAAGTGCAAACAAGAAACAAACTCAAGTTCAAAAACACCACAACCTCAAGTTCAAAAACACAACACACCCTCAATTTCGAAAACACCACAAAATCAAGTTCAACCACGATTCAAACTCAAGTTCAAAAACACCACAAACTCAAGTTCAAAGACACCAAAACTAAAGTTCAAAAAACACCACAAACTCAAGTTCAAACAAGACACAAACTTAAGTTCAACAAACACACAAACTTAAGTTCAACAAATGCCAAACTTTTAAGTTGAACCAACACCCAAATCTCAAGTTCAACAATTGCCACAACCTAGAGTTCAAAAACACCACAACCTCAAGTTCAAAAACACAACACACTCTCAAGTTCAAAAACACCACAAACTCAAGTTCAACCACGATTCAAACTCAAGTTCAAAAACACCACAAACTCAAGTTCAGACACCAAAAACTAAAGTTCAAAAAACACACAAACTCAAGTTTGAAAACACCACAAACTCAAGTTCAAACAAGACACAAACTTAAGTTCAACAAACACACAAACTCAAGTTCAACAAATGCCAAACTTTTAAGTTGAACCAACACCCAAATCTCAAGTTCAACAATTGCCACAACCTAGAGTTCAACAAACGCCACAAACTCAAGTTCAAACACGAAACAACCTCAAGTTCAAAAACACCACAAACTCAAGTTCAAAAACACAACACACCCTCAAGTTCAAAAACACCAAAAACTCAAGTTCAAAAACACCACAAAAAGTTCAAACACGAAACAAACTCAAGTTCAAAAACACCACAAACTCAAGTTCAACAATTGCCACCAATTAAAGTTCACCAAAAACCAAAGACTCAAGTTCAACAATTGCCACAAACTCAAGTTCAAAAAAATTAAGTTCAAAAAACACACAAATTCAAGTTCAACAAACAACACGAACTCAAGTTCAAACACAACACAAACTCAAGTTCAACCAACAACCAAATCTCAAGTTTAACAATTGCCACAACCTAGAGTTCAACAAACACACAAACTCAAGTTCAAAAAGACCACAAACTCAAGTTCAAACATGATACAAACTCAAGTTCAACAAACACACAAACTCAAATTCAACCAATACCCAATTCTCAAGTTTAACAAATTCCACACCCTCAAGTTCAAAAACACCAAAAACTCAAGTTCAAAAACACGACACAAACTCAAGTTCATACACGACACAAACTCAAGTTCAAACATAACACAAACTCAAGTTCAACAAACACACAAACTCAAGTTAAACAAACAAAAAACCTCAAGTTCAAAAACACCACAACCTCAAGATCAAACACGAAACAAACTCAAGTTCAATCAACACCCAAATCTCAAGTTTACGTTTTTCCACAACCTCAAGTTGAAAAATAACACAAACTCAAGTACAAAACACCACAAACTCAAGTTCAAAAACACCACAACCTCAAGTTCAAAAAACACTACAAACTGAAGTTAAAACACAACACAATCTCTTGTTCAACAAACACACAAACTCAAGTTCAACCAATACCCAATTCTCAAGTTTCACAATTTCCAACACCTCAAGTTCAAAAACACCACAAACTCAAGTTTGAAAACACCACAAACTCAAGTTCAAACAAGACACAAACTTAAGTTCAACAAACACACAAACTCAAGTTCAACAAATGCCAAACTTTTAAGTTGAACCAACACCCAAATCTCAAGTTCAACAATTGCCACAACCTAGAGTTCAACAAACGCCACAAACTCAAGTTCAAACACGAAACAAACTCAAGTTCAAAAACACCACAACCTCAAGTTCAAAAACACAACACACCCTCAATTTCGAAAACACCACAAAATCAAGTTCAACCACGATTCAAACTCAAGTTCAAAAACACCACAAACTCAAGTTCAAAGACACCAAAACTAAAGTTCAAAAAACACCACAAACTCAAGTTCAAACAAGACACAAACTTAAGTTCAACAAACACACAAACTTAAGTTCAACAAATGCCAAACTTTTAAGTTGAACCAACACCCAAATCTCAAGTTCAACAATTGCCACAACCTAGAGTTCAACAAACACCACAAACTCAAGTTCAAACACGAAACAAACTCAAGTTCAA